ATATATATATATATAGTCATCACCCCTAAATTGCAGTCTGACCAAATGAACTGCAGTCAAGAGAATACACCCACTTGTACAAAGTCGACTTGGAAGTCAAGAGTGCCGTGGGTCATGGGTAAGGGGTACTCGTCGTTTTATGTAAAGGATAGACTAGGGTGCTTGTAAGGGTAAGTCCAGAGCTTCCCGCTAGAATAGCTACACGGCAGTTACGATGGACATCCTTGTATCTAGATATATCTCAATCTCCCGGTCCCGAAATAACTGCTTGGAGATACATATCACATCCCGGATATTTTGCTTAGCTCAATCTCCCGGTCCCGATATAACTGCCTGGAGATACACATCGGATCCCGGATATCTTGCTTGGCATCTTGATTGGCATGCCGCGTGGATTCTGCATCGGAACATATAAATACCTCTTAAGGGCCACGCCAAAAGGTAATTGAAACCAACCTTAAGCTCTTTGTGTCTACGCTTTAAAGGTAGCCCCGATTATTGCTGACTTAAGCATCGGAGTGTCTACCCCGAGGATCCACCTCGGGGCTTTGCAGGTTAATCTAGAGTGCAGATACGGACTGAAGAAGGACTTCCGGTTTGGTGCAGTTACATTTTGGCGCCGTCTGTGGGAACCTGAACTAAAGGCCCTTTTGTTGCTCTTATCATGGTGAAAACTAGGTCAGCCTGAGGTGGAAACTCGTCTCAGCCTCTTAGACGAGGTCAGGTTCCCAGCAACCTTCCGCCTCATCCCCCACCCCCAATCCCAAATACGGTCCCTCATGTGGACCATGCAGAAGGAGAAGACGAAAATCAACCACACAATTCGGTTAGCAACTCAGCCTCTACTGCTAACCAAGACGTAGTCGCAACTCAGCTCGCTGCCATGCAGCAGCAGTTTGGTGTTTTTCAGTAAGTGCTGGCTCAGTTATTAGCCAGGAACAATCCTGGTGATCCACTCATCAACCTACTTAATCTTGCTCCGCAGCCTCCAGCCCCACCATAAAATCCTGAACCAGTTCAACATGCTCCTGCTGTTAGTGAATCTCAGGGCCAATCTCACATCGCACCAGTTATGCAACCCCCTCGTGATGATGTCACTCGACGTTTAGATAGCTTAGAAAAGCTAGTGGTCGAACAGCGAGGTATCCCACCTCCACACCCTGCTGTTGACTCCGTACCTCACCCTCTCAACACCAATATCATACTGGAACCCTACCCCGCTGGCTTTCGAATACCACAGCTTGAAACTTATGATGGGACGAAGGACCCCGATGATCATCTACATGCTTTCTACTCTTGCATGCAGGCCCAGAACGCCTCTGATGCGTTCATGTGCAAAATCTTTCCCTCTACTCTCCGAGGTAATGCTCGAACCTGGTAATACAGTCTGCCTCTGAGGTCAATCAACTCGTACACAGAACTGGCATCTGCTTTTGCCACAAAGTTTTCCAGTAGAAGGTTGATCAGGAAAACCACTTCCGAGCTGATGCGAGTTAAGCAGAGGGACGGAGAATCTTTGAAGAATTTTATGAGCAGATTCAATGATGCAGTGCTAGAAGTTAACTCTTTCGACCAAGCAGTGGGAATTACAGCTATGATCTCGGGTCTCAGCCATGAGAGGTTCCGAGATAGTTTGCTCAAACATCCTGCCAACACCTTCAGCGAGGTAAATGATAGATCATTGAAATTCATAATTGCTGAGGAATATGCTCTGTCGCAGAACCTAACTCCTACTAAGAGCCAACACCCGGACTGGAGAGATGAGAATCCGAACAGGAAATGGATGAAGACAACACAGAACCGAGGCCCAATGTCGACTTCCACCCCGAGATTCGGAAGGCCTAACTCAGCACCTTCGCAACAACCTGCAGGTAAACCTCCAGTTAATTGGATTCCTTTTAATTTACCGAGGTCACAAATCTTCATGCAGATTAAGAATAAAATGGACTTACGACGTCCGGGTCCAATGAGAACTGCTGCTGCTACTAGAGACCATACAAGGTATTGTGATTTTCATCAAGATCACGGTCATACAACAGAGCAATGCAATAGTTTGAGGTCCGAACTGGAAAGCCTGGCGCAGAAAGGAATGCTGAATGAGTACATCCAAAGAGTTGAACAGCCACGATTTGTCAGGGAACAAGGGACACAGCATCAAAGAGTCCGCAATCCCCCAAACAGGCAAGGTGTGGGATATCAGCAGGCCCCACCACCACTCCCACCACCAGCTAGAGTCATACACATGATTACGGGAGGTCTGGAAGCAGGTGGACTGAGCTCTAAGCAGAGAAAGTTGTATGTCAGAGAGGTTAAGCATTAGAACCGGACTCAGAAGCGAAAATTTGACGATGCTGAGTGGAAGAATCAACCCATCACTTTCACATCTGCTGATCTCGAAACAGTTGTCACACCTCACAATGATCCTCTAGTCACTTCTGTCACAATCAACAATTGTGAGGTGCAGCGTGTCCTTGTTGACACCGGGAGTGCACCAGACATCATGTACTTCCACTGTTTTGAGAGTCTCGGGATAGATCCAGCTCTGTTGCAGTGGTATGATGGTCCCATCTACGGGTTCAACAACCAACCAGTTCCAGTTGAAGGAGTCCTCACCATGAATGTTGCCTTTGGAAGTGGCCGTAGTTATGTGACCCCTTCAGTGAGGTTTTTAGTGGTCAAGATGGCGTCCTCTTTCAACGTTGTCATTGGCCGACCTACACTGACTGAGATCCGAGCCGTGGTTTCCCAGTCTCATCTATGCATGAAGTTCCCAACTCCTACGGGAATAGCAACACTGCGAGGCAACCAGGAGGTAGCCCGGCATTGTTATATCACCTCGGTAACACAACCTCAGAAGAGCAAGGCTCAGACACCCGAGATTAATCCCAAACAGATATCTGATGATCGGCAAGTTATGGGTGTTGAAATAGTAGATAACCGACCAGAAGATGAAACCAGAGCTGCTCTAGTTGAAGATGTGGAGGAGGTACAGATTGATGACAGAGATCCGAGCAGGAAAACGCAAATTGGGACTAAATTGAACCCGGAAGAAAGAGCAGAGCTAATAGCTTTTCTTCGGGCCAATAACGATGTTTTTGCATGGACTTCAGCAGATATGCTGGGAATCCCCACTTCAGTTTTTCAACATAAACTCAGCACCAATCCCCTCAAGAAACCAGTAGCCCAGAAGCGACGTCTCTTCGGGAGGGAGAGGTTAAAGGTTATTAAAGAGGAAGTCGAGAAGCTCCTACAAGC